GTTTGCAAAAAGTCTATATGGAGAAATAGTCGAATAAATGAGTTTCCAATTATAATGTAACAAATTTTAATTTATTCTTTGTATGCAGCACTTACATTAGAGGTGAACAGATTTTGAGTTTAAAATATTATCTTATTTTGCTGTCAAAATGTAGGGAATAAAGCCTCGGAGTTAAGAGCATGGATTCGGAAGCCAAACTTGGGTTCTAGTCTGGCTCTTCCACTTACTGGTAGCTCTGTAATCTTAGGCAAGTTACTTAACCCTTTTTGGTCTTAATTTCTTTGTCTGTAAAATTCACATATATTGTGGGGAGTTTTATTTCCTTTTTTTTAAGAGACAGGGTCTTGCCTTGTTGCCCAGGCTGGAGTACCATGTCGTGATCATAGCTCACTTCAGCCTCAGATTCCAGTAGCTTTCCTTCAGAATCTTCTCCGTCAGGACTCCTTGCATATTGTTTTAAGCAAGCAAGATTTGATTAAATATGCAGTATGTCTGCAAGGCCTCCTTTTTTTTTCTTGATAACCACTTGGGTGGATTCTATTGAGTCACAGAGTACCAAACTGAGACTCAGGAGTTCTAGGGTTTTACAGTTTTACCACTTTGTTCCCATTTCCTTTGTGACTAAAGTCACTCAGCCTCTCTGGTCCTCAGATTCAATGTCTTAAATTGTGTGAATTAAATCACCTTGAAAGTCTGAGTCTCTTAAGGCCTCTGAAAATCTCATTTGAAAAAACTTTTTAGTCCTAATTCTTGGAATATTTTTTATGTCCCACCACCTTTCCTCTGCTATAATTCTAGCCTATTTATTCTAATCTCATTATCTAGCCCATTTATTCTGATACTAAGTGAAGATGGGAGACCAGTCATTTTGTAGCATTGAACTTCTGATCCACCCAAACATGAAAATCAATGAGTAATGATATATACTTAAAATTGAGCCATTTTGTCCTTAAAGATAAAGAACCTCTGGCCATTTTTCTTAAAATTCACTCTCGATTGAACTTTCGTTACTGCTTAATTGTTGCTTGAAAGCAAAGACAACCTTAGTTTCACTTATTGCCACTTTTCCTGTCTGTATTAACTACTTCCTCAGCTTCCTGCATAAATCCATGTTTATCTGTGGGAGCTGAGATCACTGCACATGGCTGCAGACATCTGTATTGTTTTGCAAATGTTAGGACGTTTGTTCTAAACCTTCTTCCTCCTGTATACCAGTGGGAATATTAATGCATAGAAAAAACAGGAAAGAGAACAGTATTCTCATTAGGTTTAATTCTGCCTTAAATATTAACAGTATTAAGGGAGCATTTACATTGTATTTTGATATTGCTGGGAAGAAAAAAATAGCTTTTTAATTTTTAAGTTGTAAAATTATGCATTGGGAGATTAATCTACACTATTACTTAGTTAAATGTGGTGGTTTTAGACTGGACCCATGGCATTCTTGACATCCATGAATTTGACAGTGGCTCCATGAGATGATTTTGCTCATGGCATTTTTTAGAGGTAGCTAGCTAGTACATGAGTGAGCCTGGTAGATTGCTTAGCCTCTGCATTTCAGTGCAACTTTGTTTTCTTTTCTCCTCAGGTTTACTAAGGGATGTTTTTAATCCATACTTGCCATACCCTCTTATTTTTTTCTTTTACCTTTGTATTTTGATAATTTCAGACTTAAAAGTTCTAATAATAGTACAAAGAATTTGCAAATGCTCTACCCATATTCCTCAAATGTTAATATTTTACTACATCTGCTTTAACCTTTTTTCTCCTTCTCTAAATATACACATATTCTTTTCTGCGCCATGTGAGAGTAAGTGGCAGACATTATGCCACTCTTCCCTATTTACTTTTCAGTGTGTATTTCCTAAAAAACAAGGAGATTCTGTTTCATAGCCATAGTATAATTATCAAAATCAAAGAGTTAGATAATAGGGCCACATCAATGTTTAACTATGGACCTTATTCACATTTTGCCAATTGTTCCCATAATGGCCTTATTAGCAAAAGAAAGTCTGGGATCAAATCATGCATTTCATTCAGCTGTCATCTCTCTTTTAGTTTCCTTTAATCTGGACGAGGTCTTTCGACTTTCTCTTGTTTATTGACCTTCACATTTTTGAAGGGTAAAGGCCTGTTATTTTGCTGTGTCCATCAATTTGGGTTTGTCTGTTTCATGCACTTTTGGCAGGAACACCATAGAAGTGTTTTCAGTACGTCATATCAAGAGACTCATGATAATTGATTTGTCTTACTTGTTACTGGTGTTGTTAACTTTGATTAAGGTAACTTTGGTTAAGGTGATGTCTGTGATGTGATGATGTTTGCTAGGTTTCTCCATGTAATTAATAAGTCCAAGATACCTTTTTAGTATGAAGACTAAATTCTTAATTCTGTGGTTGAAAGAATTTTAATTCACTTGGCATGTTGACTCTTTAAAGTAGGGCTAAAGTTTTCAGGTATTAATTTTATTACAGTAGTGAGACTCTTAATTAGGTGTAGTAGTACCTTTGTTCTTGGCATGTGGCAATCATTTAAATACATGTCAATATTTCAAATTGGAGTATTTTTTGACCTTCAAGAAACTGACTGGGTTTGAAGAGATCTAACAAAGTAAAAGTAATAGTAGTGGCCTGACTCAGGCCTCTGCTCTTTTCACAATTTTTGGAGGAACTTAAGAATTTTAACTCTCCTTGTTCCCCAATTTGAAAAAGTTGCATTTAACTTCCTTAGAATTACTTTGCAACTTGATCCATACTTCCATTAGGGTAGAAATAGGCATATGTCTGTTTTATTTAGCTTTACTTGATTATAGTTAAAGCTATCTTACATTAATATTTTATTTTATACTTAGATTTCCTATAAGAGAGATCTGAATGATAAAGCAGGATTCCTTTTCTTTCTAACCTATACCTATCCTTTGGACATCTTGAAAAGGGACTGCATAGGAATTGGGTGTATCACATTGTTTTGGTTCTAAAGGAGAACATGCCCTTGAAGGAGGGAAATACATATGGGTTAGCAAGTCACTAATCCCACCTCTCCTCCCCCTACTGAAATAACCTCTAATCAGAAAGATGGAACCTGCTTCCTATTTTCTTATCAGTTTTTTAAGTGACACACCCAGCACAAAGACTTAAATACAAGTACACAAATTGCTTGTGGAGCCTCTTAAAGCCACCTGGAAGAAAAACTTTCTCCTCCTAATTTTCTGACCAACACTTTCCTTTTTCTTTATCGCCTTGTTAGCATTATTATTTACGAGATATCTTTCTGGTGAGTAGAGTAAATACAGCAATAATCCATCTCTAAAAAACAGTATGCAGTACTTGCAGACAGTTATACAACCCTGCTCAAATTTCTTGCTTTGTAAAGAGATCTCTTTAATTATTTACTTCTCTGCCTTTGCCTCTGTTCCACAATTACATATATTTGCTTTTTATGTAAGAACTTGCATTGTTTTGCTTTGTTTTGGTTCCCCTAACTTAATCTTCAAAACAACTTAAAAAGAAGTTAAAGCTTATGGGGGGGGGGGACACATATTTAATCATTTACACTTGAAAAAGAAGAGCCAGTTTAGGATTATAGGAAAGGCCTAAAGAATGAAGTTAATAATTACCTTTATTCCTTAGCCACTTCTGATGATTGAAGGTAAAGCCTTTTCTTTACCCTTGGCACATTCCCATCCCATGCATTTTCA